GACCCATGCATGTCAGGAGAACTGATAGGGAACAGTGTAGTAAAGAAAGCCAGTACCAGACTAAAGTTCATCTACAGACAAGTACAGTGTCTACCTACTGAGGCTCACAGGACCCTATGTCTAGCCATTATACAATATCATATGGACTAAGCTTGCTCTTCATGGTACTCTGCCTTGAAGACGACAACAACAAAAAAACTGAAAGAGACTACAAATCAAGTAGGAAAAAAATGGTCCTGGACCTGGGTCCAAGACAGTATGTAGGCCCGGATGAATTACAACTGGATATGCTGAATGTTGAAGACAGTAAAACAACGGAGGTTAAATCAAGTTCATAAAATTGCTCACAAAGTGCCCAGAATGAATATCTTGCTGCCAATTTTGTCAAGGCTGGGAACCTAAGCAATCAATCATAGTACTAGGGGGCGAGCACAATTTTGTAGTACCCACAGTCAGTAGCCAGGTTTCAAACACCTTTTATTGTACAGCAATAAAGGAATGGAACAGACTGCCTGCACATGTTCAAGAAGAGAGTCAAAAGATGCCTAATGACTGTAGCGACAGAAATGGATTTTTTTTTTTTTTTTTAGCCAACACATATGTAAATATAAATAACCCATTTTACCTTATTCTTAGCATTTCTCCTTTATAGTATAATAATAATATATTATCTCCTTTATAGTATAATAATATGGTATTAAAAGGACCCCAATGGAAATAACTCATGACTTTTTTGGGTTATCCTAGGTTCTCTACACATATGCTGTTATGTATGATAATCTATGTAACTATTTTTGTATACCTGAATAAACTTACTTAAGGCCATGATTAGATTTAGCTATGCAGTTCTGGTCTCTATTACAGAATGGACATGAATTTGCTGGAAAACATTCAGAGAATGATGACAATGTTGATCCCATGTATCAGAAATCTGCAGTTTTTGGAAAAGGCATAAAATTTAGTGGAATATTTATCATTAGATATGGTTAGACATATTAATTGTTTCTAATTTGAACACACTGGTGACAGTCCTGTCTTGATTAGTTATTTTCAACATGTTATTAATATCCCCTCTATATATTTTCCACTGTACACTTCAATCATATTCCTTGTAATTTTACACCTTTCCAGAGAGTGCAAATTCAGTGTCTTAGACCTAATTTTGTAGTTATTTGATAAAAAGAATAAAATTCGTCAACCTTTTGCCCAAAATGCATTGCATGCCAGTAACTTTGTGCCTAACAACATTTTATTACATGTAAACTACATTACCTGTATACATAAGAACATAAGAAAGAGGGGAACACTGAAACAGACCTACTGGCCCATGTGAGGCAGGTCCAAGTCTCCTACTGACTTAAACCAATGCCCTAACCTAGTTAGGTAGGTCACATTAACTTAAGGAAGGAGCACGGCATCTGACCTAGCAGCACAAGCTAGTCAGGTCCAACTCACACCCACCTGAACCCACTTATGTACATGTATTTATCTAACCTATTTTTAAAACTACACAACGTTTTAGCCTCTATAACTGTACTCGGGAGTTTGTTCTATTTATCCACAACTCTATTACCAAACCAGTGCTTTCCTACATCCTTCCTGGATCTAAATTTTTTCAACTTGAAACCATTGCTGCGAGTCCTGTCTTGGCTAGATATTTTTAGAACGCTACTTACATCCCCTTTATTTATTCCTGTTTTCCATTTACACACCTCAATCATATCCCCCCCTAATTCTACGCCTTTCTAGAGTGCAGATTCAGGGCCCTTAGTCTCTCCTCATAGGGAAGGTTTCTGATACATGGGATCAACTTTGTCATCCTCCTTTGTACATTTTCCATTCTGTAATACGGTGACCAAAACTGTGCAGCATAATCTAAATGAGGCCTAATCAAGGTTGTATAGATTATGCTGCACAGTTTTGGTCACCGTATTACAGAATGGATATAAATGCTCTGGAAAATGTACAAAGGAGGATGACAAAGTTGATCCCATGTATCAGAAACCTTCTCTATGAGGAGAGACTAAGGGCCCTGAATCTGCACTCTCTAGAAAGACGTAGAATTAGGGGGGATATGATTGAGGTGTATAAATGGAAGACAGGAATAAATAAAGGGGATGTAAATAGTGTGCTGAAAATATCTAGCCTAGACAGGACTCGCAGCAATGGTTTTAAGTTGGAAAAATTCAGATTCAGGAAGGATATAGGAAAGTACTGGTTTGGTAAGAGAGTTGTGGATGAGTGGAACAAACTCCCAAGTACAGTTATAGAGGCCAGAACGTTGTGTAGCTTTAAAAATAGATTGGATAAATACATGAGTGGATGTGGGTGGATGTTGGTGGCCCGGTGGCCTGGTGGCTAAAGCTCCCGCTTCACACACGGAGGCCCCGGGTTCGATTTCCGGCGGGTGGAAACATTCGACACGTTTCCATACACTTGTTGTCCTGTTCACCTAGCAGCAAAATAGGTACCTGGGTGTTAGTCGACTGGTGTGGGTCGCATCCTGGGGGACAAGATTTAAGGACCCCAATGGAAATAAGTTAGACAGTCCTCGATGACACACCGACTTTCTTGGGTTATCCTGGGTGGCTAACCCTCCGGGGTTAAAAATCCGAACGAAATCTTATCTTATCTTATCTTGAGTTGGACCTGATAGCTTGTGCTACCAGGTCGGTTGCCGTGTTCCTCCCTTAAGTCAATGTGATCTGACCTGACTAGGTTGAGTGCATTGGCTTAAGCCGGTAGGAGACTTGGACCTGCCTCGCATGGGCCAGTAGGCCTGCTGCAGTGTTCTTTCGTTCTTATGTTCTTATAGGGAAGATTTCTGATACATGGGATCATCTTTGTCATCCTCCTTTGTAAGCTTTTCAGAGCCTTTATATCCATTCTATAATACGGTGACTAAAACTGTGCAGCATAATCTAGATGAGGCCTAACCAAGGATATATAGAGTTGAAAAATAACCTGAGGACTTTTATTATTTATGCTTCTTGCTATAATGCCAAGGATTCTGTTCGCTTTATTGCGAACACTTATGCACTGTTGTCTTGGTTTTAGATTACTGCTAACCAGAGATCCCAAATCCTTTTCGCAGTCAGTAATATTAAGATTACATTTTTTAGTTTATATGTGGCATGGTTATTTTTCTGTCCAATGTTTAGAACTTTGCATATGTCTATTAAACTGCATCTGCCACTTCTCTGACCACTGTATCAGTATTCAAATCTTACTGGAGTGCTCTAATGTCCTCGTTAAAATGAATTCGACGGCCTATTTTGGTGCCATTGGCAAACTTGCTTATGTCGCTATTTATTCCCTCATCTATGTCGTTCATGTAGATCGTGAACAGCAAGGGTCCCAACACTGACCCCTGTGCAACACCGCTTGTGTCGCTTCCCCCACTGATTTCTCCCCATTTATGCAAACTCTCTGCTGCTTATTTGTCAACCATGCCTCTCTCCGGGAAAAAAATTATCCTCCTATTCCGTGCCTTAATTTCCTCAATAGTCTCTGATGTGGGACTATCAAAAGCCTTACTGAAGTCCGTATACACTATCACATCCATTACTATGCTCTACCTCCTCAAATACCTTAGTGAAAAAAGTTAAAAAATTCTTAAGGCATGAACGCCCTTTTGTAAAACCGTGCTGAGATTCGTTGATCAATTTATGCTTTTCAAGATGGCTACGAATTGCTTCGGCAATTATCTATTCCATAAATTTTCCCACTATGGAGGTTAGGCTTATTGGTCTATAGTTCGAAGCTGAGGACCTGTCACCTGCTTTGAAAATAGGCATCACATTTGCCATTTTCCACTTATCTGCCACTATGCCAGTTTGTAATGACATGTTGAAAAGATTAGCCATTTCTTTAACATAAGAACGAAGGAACACTGCAGAAGGCCTACTGGCCCATGCGAGGCAGGTCCAAGTCTCCTACCGGCTTAAGCCAATGCACCCAATCTAGTCAGGTCAGGTCACATTGACTTAAGGGAGGAACACGGCAACCGACCTGGTAGCACAAGCTATCAGGTCCAACTCACACCCACCCACATCCACTCATGTATTTACCCAACCTATTTTTAAAGCTACACAACGTTCTGGCCTCTATAACTGTACTCGGGAGTTTGTTCCACTCATCCACAACTCTATTACCAAACCAGTACTTTCCTATATCCTTCCTGAATCTGAATTTTTCCAACTTAAAACCATTGCTGCGAGTCCTGTCTAGGCTAGATATTTTCAGCACACTATTTACATCCCCTTTATTTATTCCTGTCTTCCATTTATACACCTCAATCATATCCCCCCTAATTCTACGTCTTTCTAGAGAGTGCAGATTCAGGGCCCTTAGTCTATCCTCATAGGGAAGGTTTCTGATACATGGGATCAACTTTGTCATCCTCCTTTGTACATTTTCCAGAGAATTTATATCCATTCTGTAATACGGTGACCAAAACTGTGCAGCATAATCTAAATGAGGCCTAACCAAGGATGTATAGAGTTGAAGAACAACCTGTACCTCGTACAGTTCATCAGAAAAGAAATTATTAGTATTATTGTTTGTAAGCTTTCCAGTGTACTTATGTCCATTCTGTAATACAGAGACCAGAACTGAGCAGCATGGTCTAAAATCCTTATCTTCGTTAAGCTAAATAATTTAGAACGCGAGGCTATAGTGCAAGACAACTACTCGACGGAAATCGGGCAGTGGTTTACATTTTACAATACACACAACCTATATATACAGTGGAATAATAATACATACAACCTATATACACGGCAGAATAATAATACTTACAACCTATATACACAGCAGAATAATACACAAAACCTATATGCACAACGGAATAATACATACAACCTATATATATAGTGGAATAATACATACAACCTATATACACGGCGGAATAAAGTATTTTCTTGTGCAAATTAGTAAGGACATTCGAAAATACCATAATTGTTATGCTACATCTAACTTTAAGAGGAAATCCTCCTCACCTGGCATGTGATTAACATCAAGAGCAGCAGCGCCACGCTGCTCCATACAGCACACGCCATTACAGTGAAGTTTGGGGCTTCACTCGGCCTCAAACTGTAATATTAATCACTAGAAATCTTCTTCTGCGGGCAAGAGCCGCGACCAGCTACACTTCCTGTTTATTTCACCTCCAATTAGAGTATTCTCTTGTCCCTCACCACTCTACGCCAGCTTCGCTCACTCTCTCGTACACTGGACTGATGTCCAGCTGAAAAATCCTGCGAGGTGGTTGAATGCGAGGTAAAAAAGGAGAGCGAAAGCCAACACTACCACCTCTCAGCTGGTCTACAGTAACTCTGGCTTCCTCACTCACAACAATGTCAGTGTTGCCAGCTCTCATTCACCTTCCTTGATGCACCTATGCCAAGTCTCCACCAACTATATAATTTTGAAAATTATAGCATTAAGATACTTTTATACGTAGCTCTATACCTTTCAGAATGATATAATAAATATATACAACACCTTCACACAAAGGGGCTTGCCTACGATTTTCAGTCACTCCGGAAGATGCCTCTGGGTAAATGATTCGAGTGCGTAGTTACTTGGTTATAATGCACTTCCTACCTTCCTACAAGGTCATACAGGAAGAAAGTACAAAAACAATTTATTCTGCGAATCATAAAAAATCAACGAGCATTTGCGACATTCTTAACAGAGTAGCGGACATACATACCCGCCTCGCATGGGCCAGTAGGCCTGCTGTAGTGTTCTTATTTATCACTGAACAACTTTAGAAAGGAGGAGCACTGCAGCAGGCCTACTAGCCCGTGCTAGGTAGGTCTAACCCATACCCGCTCATGTACTTTAATCTATTTTTAAAGCTATCCAAGGTTTTTCGCTTCAATAGCGCTACTTGGGAGTTCGTTCCACTCATTGCCAAACCAGTGACTTCTTATATCTAATCTAAATCTAATTTTTCCACCTTAAACCCATTAATGCTATTCCTGTCTTGGTTAGGTATCCTTAGCATGTTATCTATATTCCCTTTATTTATTGCTGTCTTTCATTTATACACATCAACCGTATAACCCCTAATTCTACGCCTTTCCAGTGAGTGCAGGTTCAGTGCCCTCAGTCTGGCCTCTTAGGAAAGATTTCTGATACATGGATTCAACTTTATCATCGTTGTGGCGAAACGTTTCCTTAATAAATGTTCCGAACTGTACATAAGTGTCATTTTTCAGTTTGTTGGTAGTATCACCATGCAATTTGCATCCATTATCATCCTTCGCTGTATGTTTTCCAGCGCATTTATGTTCATTCTGTAATAGGCAACAGAACTGAGCAGCAGAATCTAAATGAGGCTTTATCAAGAATATACAAAGTTTTATGGAAAAGGACACATGTGCAACTAATGTGACATTTTATTGTGGCAACAGGCACCTACAGTCAGTATCTGACCAACCGGGCTGTGGTTCGTACGTCAGCTTGCGTGCGGCCAGCAGTAACAGTCTAGCTGATCAGACCTTAATCCACCATGAGGCCTGGTCTCAGACCAGGCCGCAGGGGAGTTGACCCCCGAAACCCATTCCAGGTAAACGTTCCCCAGCAACCGAGATCCAATTAAGTAAAAGCCGTTACAACGGTTTCACGAAGTTCCTGGAGAGCGAAACGTTGCCGCAATAAAATGTAGCATTAGTTGCACTTGTGTCCTTTTACTTAACAGGATGTTTTTGTTACTCTGGATTGCATCGAGAGGCATGTCTAGCGGATAGCGCATTAATACGCCTTTTATCCACTACTCTATGGATCTGAGTTCTGTGAGAACGAGTGGTGATTCGAGGTCGTTCACCTACTGCAGTATCTCACAGGACTCTTGTTTCGTGGCTTGAGAATAAACTCTCCTTTCAGATTTGGGGACACTGATATTTTCAGACTGTATTTTTTCTCCAGGTGAATTATAGTAGCACACGGGGTATCATGGTGTCTTTTGTTGATGAGTCCGAATTTGTTGCCTACGGGTGTTTTAGCCTGATTGATCTGCAAGGAAACACTATGCATTGCCTTGGACTTTGAAGATCGTATTTCCTGTCAACCTTCGCCATACGGTATTTCTCTGGTAGGGATGACAGACATTTCTTTAACCATATCTATCTCACTGACCAGGCTAATTTCAACTGTATCGCTGTCCCAATAACCCAGGGAGTCCAGTGAGTGGTCTCGCAGCTTCTTCGCCAGAACATCGTGACCTCTTCCTTTCAGAATAATAATAACTAATAATAATAATAATAATAATAATAATAATATCTTTATTTCTACAAGTACATGGGCATCAATGACATACTACTATATAGAAAGCCGCTTGTTATGCAGAGCATTCCGGGCAAATTAGGTCACTTTTTGTCCCAGGATGCGACCCACACCAGTCGACTAACACCCAGGTACCCATTTTATACTGATGGGTAAACATGGACAGCAGGTGTCTAAAGGAAACAAGTCCTAATATTTTCCAGCCGTACCGGGGGTTCGATCTCCGGACCTAAGTGTGTGAGCTGAGTGCGCTAGTTACGGGACAGATGCCATATGCTTCCGCGTGTGTTACAAACAACACAGGGAAAACTGTATATATAGGTAAAAATGTGAGGTGAAGCAACATAAGCACTGTCGTAGGGTAACTGGCCCATTTTGAATAAAGGTTCAGAAAATCATCAAGATGATAAGTAATACACTTGTGCAATAACTGGAAATGTTTATTCTGGAAACGTTTCGCCAACCAGTTGCTTCTTCAGTCCAACGCAGAGAAATGGTAGAAGATAACGAGGAGTTTGAGGTAATCAGACCCTCAGCCTGGAGTCGATGTATTCAGTCCATCAATCTCCCACTGTTTCTCTGCATTGGATTGACGAAGCCACTGGCTGGCGAAACGTTCCCAGAACAAAGATTCCCAATTGTTGCGCAAGTGTCTTATTCATCACTCCTCGGTTCCAGGACCGAAACGTACAACATATCCGCGTAGTAGGGACTTATATACTGCTGACAGTAAGTTTTTCCACGGATGACTCCATCTACCACTGCTTCACCTCATCTGTCTACATGCAGTATATAAGCCCTTATAAGCGGATATACTGTAATCTTATCAAGATTGGTGGACTGAACACATCAGCTCATGGCTGAGGGACTGATTATCTCAAACTCCTCATCTTCCACTGCTCTTCTCTGCTTTGGACTGAAGAAACCACTGGCTAGAGAAACGTTTCCAGAATAAAGATTCCCAAATGTTGCCCAAGTGTCTCACGAAAATGTAATGACACGATTGCATTTGTGGTCACAGTGGTGCCTATGCTAACCTTCCTATGGTGTAGAAATATACCTAGTTGGGCGAATCTTATTGTGGCTAGCTGGTCCAGTGGCTAACGCGACGGTCTGGAGTTTTGAGACTCTCAGATCGCGGGTTCTATCCCCGCCCGTGGTATGGTTTGCCCAAGTGTCTCAATTATCATCTCTCGGTGGGCGATTTGCATATGTTATGTGTGAGGCGTCTGTAATCACTGCTGAGGATAGAGGAGCTCAGAAAATACTTGTTCGATGAAAGAGCATTTTCTTCAAGGAATTCACTATTGAATAGTAAGTAAGTAAGTAAGTTTATTCAGGTATATACAAATACAGTTACATAGATTATCATACACAGCAGCATGACTCACGAAATCGTAATGACACGATTGCAAACAAACCATACCACGGGCGGGGATAGAACCCGCGATCAGAGAGTGTCAAAACTCCAGACCGCCGCGTTAGCGTATGTGTAAAGAACCTAGGATAACCCAAAAAGATACGGAGGGCACTCAGGAAGAGGCCCATGGTGAGGCTGTGGTGAGAGTAGATGTGGAGATCGTGTTGGCTGGTCGGTTTGAAATGAAGCTCATTATCAATTTTGCAGAGAACATCAAGGAAATGAAGTGTTGCCTTCTTCTAGCGTAAACTGGACTGAGAACTCGACCTGGTTGGGCTTGTGTTGGAAAGCAGAAATGCTGAACCGTCTGAGAGTCAGGTGACCGCTCAGCTTCGAAATGTTCCATGTACAGGTTCGCCAGTACATGGAACATTTAGCTCAACAAGGTCAGCGAAATCGCTGGCTGAAACAGGAAGGTCGAGGGAGTCGTAAATTTTCCGGTGAAAGAAATCAATGGCTTGTAGTGTGGGTACCTTGCTAAATAGGGATGTCACGTCTAGGGGTGAAGAGTTTCTTGTTTTCGTAGTTCCTTTGCTAGCGCACTCAGCTCACACACTGAGGTCTGGGGGTAGATTCCCGGTACGGGTGGAAACATTAGGACGTGTTTCTTTAAGACATCTGATGCCCATGTTCACCTATCAGTAAAATAGGTACCTGGGTGTTAGTCGAGTGGTGTGGATCGCATCCTGGGGACAAAATTGACCTAATTTGCCCGAAATGCTCTGCATAACAAGGGGCTTTCTATATAGTAGTATGTCATTGATATCAGCTTGTCCTGTATACCTTGTACATGTTTACCTGGAGTTTACCTGGAGAGAGTTCCGGGGTCAACGCCCCCGCGGCCCGGTCTGAGACCCGCTCTGGGTTATACCCAGGTTCTCTACACATATGCTGCTATGTATGATAATTCTATGTAACTGTATTTGTGTATACCTGAATAAACTTACTTACTTACTTACTTATGCAGCAGTAGAATACATCGTCACCGTGGGCGGGACCCACTAGTGGAAGTAGGTCTTGCCCATGAGTTGGGCCAGTGGTTAGCATAGAGGTTAAAAAAGGTATCCTCTGACCAAGTAGCCCAACCTGTCTTAATCGTACTAACATAACTGATATCTTCTTTTAATTATTTGTCAGTCTATTTTTGTTATCACCAGAATTTAATTTAAACAAAGGGTTTCCCCTTTAGAAATCATCATTTTCTTTAAAAATTATAAAAGACTGCCATTCTCTATTAAAGTAATGGTACACTCTTACATATATGTGAAAGCAATAATAAGATAAGATTTCGTTCAGATTTTTAACCCCGAAGGGTTATCCACCCAGGATTACCCAAGAAAGTCAGTGCGTCATCGAGGACTATCTAAAAAATTACTTCCATTGGGGTCCTCAATTTTGTCCCCCAGGATGCGACCCACACCAGTCGACTAACACTCAGGTACCTATTTGCTGCTAGGTGAACAGGACAGCAGGTGTAAGGAAACAGGTCGAAATGTTTCCCCTCGCCGGGAATCGAACCCGGGTCCTCCGATGTGAAACGGGAGGTTTTAGATTTGGCCACCACCTGTTTCAAATGCACCTATTTAATTTTTTACAATTGATTTATATACTAACTTACGTGTATATTAAGAAGTTAGGA